AGTTATCTATATAATATTTGTATTATAGCAATTGTTACTAACAATTAGATTAGAATACCTGTAATGACAGTTATATCAGCATGACTGACAGGTTATAAAGCATCTGTGTAACTTGTTAACAAAGGAATGCAAACTGACAAATCAGACAGTACAAACACTAGATAAGTCCTTATAGTTATATAAATCTATTGAAATTAGGTAACAAGAAGTTTATTTGAAAAGACCCAAGTAGAGAGATAGCCAAATCTTTAACAACTTTACTGTAAAGGCTAGCCTAGAGAAATAAATACTAAGGTTATACCTGTTCATAATAACTAAACAGGCAAGAATCTCTGAATTGGAGATATTACTAACCAGGCTACTGAAATGAACTAGGCTACTGGAAGAACCAAAAAAAAAAGATATCTTGCTAACCTAATATACCAATAAACTGATCATAGTTTTATACAGGCTATCTGAATTGAATATTTGGTAAAAAAGCTAGACAAAAGGCAGGAGTATACTAAAGTACCAGCATTATGCTGTAAAATAAATGCTAGGGTCTGTGTGAACTTTACAAAGACATAGTGGTTAATGATATAACTTTGACTGCAAGTGTTAGTTCTGTTATAGTAATACCTAGATCAGCTATAAAAATATGTACAGAAGGCTTTGAAAGTTTACCTTAAGAATAAATTAGTCCTAAAGTTGAGACAATGATCTAGGCATCTGAATATAATTTGGTAAGTTAATACAGGTTACAGATTCAGAAAGTTTAAAATGAAACACCCAAGCAAAGATATACTTGTTAAACAAACTCTTGGAATTTGGGATTTTTTTATAGACAAACTTGAACAAATAAAATAGTTTGATTATATCTAAAATCTCATATGAAAAAACTAAACAAATTCTAATCCCAAATTTCAAACTTCATCCCAAATTCCAAACCCTATTCCAAATCCCAAATTCAGTTCCAAATCTCAAACTTTATTACAAATCCCAAATCTCAAACTCTGTTTTAAATCTCAAATCCCAAATCCTATCTTATGTTCCAAATCCCAAATTCTAATTCCAAATATATATTATTATTATTAATTATAATATTTGATTGGCTAATGTAAATCAATTGCCCAGATAACTTATTTATATAGTTTAAATTGATACTAATTAACTTTTAATTATTAATATTAATTGTTACTAATGCTATATATATTGCTATATAAGATTATTATAATAAAGATAATGATAACTTTAAATTTTACAATAATATTGCTATTATTTAAACTTTTTAACTTTCTAGATTTTCTTTTTTTTTAATTTTAACTTTTACTTTTTATTTAATTTAAATTCTTTTTAGTATTATGCAATTTTTATTATTTAACTTTTGTTATATTTTCATAAATTCTTTTTTTTTTTTTACTAATGTTTATCTTTTCAAACTAGAATGAGATCTTGGAGTTGAGAACTGATACAAAGATAAGTACCAGACTCTTTGATGTTTTTGTTGTTTTTTTTCATTTTTTATTAATGTTTTCTTTTTTTTTAGGTTTGTGTTTTGCTAGAAAAGATGTAACAGAATTGAGTTTGAATCTTAAAGTCTAGAACTGATATAAAAATAAGTACCAGTTTCTTTTTTTATGTTCTTGTTGTTTTTCTTTTATTCTTTATTAACATTTTTCTTCTTTTTCAGGTTTATGCTTTACTGAGAAAGATGTAACAAAATCAAGTTTGGATCTTGAAATTAGGAACTAATACAAAGATAAGTACTAGTTTTTTCTTTAATGTTTTTGTTGTTTTTTCTTTCATTTTTTACTAATGCTTTTTTCTTTTTTAGGTTTGTGCTTTGTCAGAAAAGATGTAATAGAATTGGGTTTGAACCTTGAAGTCAGGAACTAGTACAAAGATAAGTACCAGTCTTTTTTTTTATAATTTTGTTATTTTTTTTTTTGTCTTCTAATTAATATTTTTCTTTTTTTTAAAGTCAAAAACTAGTACAAAGATAAGTACTGGTCTCTTCTTTTATATTTATATTGTTTTTCTTTCATCTTTACTAATATTTTTTTTTCAAATTTGTGCTTTGTTAAGAAAGGTGAACTATACTTGCTGAAAGACTTTTAAAATTTTTTTGGAGATTTTTTTATAGACATGTCTAAACAAATAAGATTGTTCAGTTATATCTAAAATCTTATATAGAAAAACTAAACAAATTCCAATTCCAAATTGTGACCAAATTCCAAACCTTATCCTAAATTTCAAATTATATCTCAAATTTTAAACTTTATCTCAAATCATTATTTTAGCAATTGTTCATATGCTATATTATGTTTAACAATATGATTTAAATTTTTTTAGTATAATTTAATAATTATAATAATTTTATAAATAAAATGTTTTATGATATTATTATAGAATTGATTAAGGTGTTTTTTTATAATATGAATAAATAGTGCAACTATAGCATAATAATATCAACCTAGTTTATAGATAGTAGAATTAGTGATTAGGGCTTTGTTTTAGTAGTGAGCACTACTTTTGTTCTATTCTATATGTGTTTATTTATCTTATATATATATATAATTCAATAAATATATATATTTATGATTTATATAAATTTTTTTTTGAAGATTTTGTTTCTAGTACCATAATATTATAAAATAATAAATTGAAAGTTGTGTAATTTAATTGGCTAATAATTATATATAGATCTATAAATTGATCTATAAAGCCAGCTAATCAGATAAATTTCTGCCTATAAGGCTGCATTATTTATTTATATTTTGGAGATGCCATCTTAGTTAATTTATTATTATATATATCAGAGCCTTTGAATTTTTATAAAACTTAAAATAGTATTATTTTATAGCAAAATATATGCATGTTAAACAAAAAACTTATAAAAAAATAAATTTATAATAAGCTATTTAGCTAAATTTGCTAATTTCACTAGCTATGCTATTTTTGCTAACTAATTTAATTATATGTCCTATTAATGTTTGGTGGCTTTGCATTGTATTTTGGATTTGATTATGCCAAAATTTCAAACTATATAGTTTTAGCAGTTTGGTAATTTTGCACATAATGAGATTTTCAAAATTAGGTTTGAGTCATATTACTAATTATAATAACACAAAATATAGTCATAGCTTATAATTTAGTAGACAAATGAGCTATAAAGCCTTCAGTAAATTTGTAATAAATATGCAAATACTATGATATATTATTAATAATAATGCATAATTTATTCTTAATTAGATTGATAAATAAAATATATTATAAATTATTATTATTCTTTATTGCTTTTTTTAAATTAGTAATATGAATTGTATAAATCACTTTTTTTCAAATTAGTAATGTAGATTTTGTAAATCTTTTTTTAAACTAGTAAGGCAAATTTTATGAATTGCATTTTTCAAATTAGATGAATTTTATGATTTTCAAATTAGTAAGACAATCAGTTTTTGTAGATCTTTACATCAGTATTGTATATAAATTTAAGACCAAAAAGTCTTTATTTTGTTTAGTAAGTTTTGCATTATCTAGCCAAAAAATGCATATCAAAAATTATGCATATATATATAAACTATTAAAGGGTTCAGTACCATTGAATAGAGCCTGTAGGCCTTTTCAAAGTGAATCTACTACATAGTAAATTTATATTGAAAAAACTCTATAAATTATATTTTTCAAATTAGTAAGACAATTAAACTTTGTAAATCACATTTTACTATTGTTTAAACAATAGAAATATGCATTTATGGGTTAGATGGCATCTACAATTTATATTAAACTATTATTGTATTGTATTTTTTTAAGATTCTTATAACAATACTGATTTAACATAAATTGTGAATGCTGTCTTACTAATTTGAAAGATGATAATTCAGTAAATATTTAAATTTAATTAATGTCTTTATTATAAATTAAGTCAAATAATTAATATTAAAAAAACACCAATTTTGTGATATACTTGTTATCTAATTCCAAACTATTATAGTTTGGATTTGTTCTAATATCTTAAAATCTTTATTAATTATTTCTATCTAAATAAACTGTATAACATTGTTTTTTGTAGAAATTTACCTTTTTCTTAAAAATTTATTAGCAAATATTTTCTTTTCTTACCAATTTTATTGATATAAAATACTCTTTTTTTAAAAAACATTTTTATAAATACAGTATTTTCTTTTTTTTTAATATAACAATAGATGATATGAACAATAATATTATAAACAATAATGTTATGAACAATGATAATACAGACAATGACATTATGAACAATGAAGTTACTAGTCTTAGTGACATTTTAAATAATTCTATTTTTGCTTCAGAAGCAGATTTTATATAAACAGAAACAACAAAATTATCATATAGTGAAGGGTGATCCCAAGAAGATATTTGGATCAAATTTGATGCTATTATTAATAAAAGAAGAATATACAAAGAGATATAATGTAGGTATTGTACTACATTATAGGCTTGAAGAAGAGTTTATAAAATAAAAGCTTACTTCACATTAAAATATAAAGGAAGAGTGCCAAAAGATATTCAAATTAAGGTACTTCAAAACATTCAAAATAAGGATAAGTTAATGCAATCTAGAATATCTACTTCAAAAAAAAAGAAAATCTGGCAATTCTATGTTAACTATAGATGCATACTATAATACAAAAGAAGCTATTAAAAAACTAAAAAAACAAGAGCCAATAAATTACTAATCAAATAGATTATGTGTTTTGATATTATATTTTCTGCCTTTAACTCTTTTTATTTTGAAGATTTTACAAAGATATTAAACTCAGAATATAATTTATTTAAGAGAACTATATTGGCAACATCAATCTTGAATGTAGAAACAGCAAACATAATACTAAAAATAAAAAAAGAACTATTGAAATCTAAAAATCTGATGTTGTGTATAGACAGTTAATGCAGTTTATTAAAATATAACATATATGCCTTTGTGATAATGACAGATAAAAAGAACGAATATATATATTCTTACATAATTTTTCAATATTCTCTCATATAGCAAATTTTAATGCCAAAAAAATAATAAAAGTAATAGAAAATATTGGACCTGAAAAATTTGTTGCAGTGGTGTCTAATGCAGAATCAGCAACAATAGCAACAAAAATGTCTGGTTGCAACACAATATTTACATATTTTACCTATTAAATGCATTGTGCATTATATACAATTAATCTTTAGCAGTATCTGCTATTTATCTTACAATGAGTTGTTCTTTTTAACCATCTAACAGTCATAAAGTTTTTAGAAATTCTTACATTGCTAATGCTATTCTTAATTAAGAAATTATATCTACTTTCACTGTTAATAAAAATTTAAGATCAAGTACTAATAACTGGTAATCAACAGTATAGAATTGTTATGAATCAATTATACACAATAAAAAGAACATTAAATCAGTATTATTGTGATTAGATTTTTAATATATATATGAGTATCACCAAAAGAAAATTTGCAAATTTTATTAGATAAGATTTGTGAGTTTTTCCTTAATGGCACTTATATACATACATAATTATATCTTAATTAAGATATTTTATTTTTTATAGGTTTTAGAACAAAATTCTTAATTTATTATTATCAACAACTCTTTTCAATAATCCCTCACACCAACTTTTTCCAAAAGTCTGACCTATGAAAATTATATAGTTATTATATTTAAATATAACAAAACTCTACTTTAAGATAACTAGAAAGGCTATTTACTGCATATTTAGTTGTAACTGAAAAGAGCTAAAAAAGATTCGAACTCTTGTAAGTAAAGTCCCTTGGTAAAACTTAAGTACTACTAAGCAAAGAAGTAGTAGATAAGCTCTGGAGCTTTGTCAAGTACTATAAAGACTTAGGCCTAAATAGTTATTTGACTTAATATAATATTCTATATAGCATAACTCTTACAACTCCTTTTCAAGTTGGCTTTCCTTTCTGCCTTCACTACTGGATTTTTCTTTCAAAATTTTTATCAAAAAGTAGGAAATCTGGCGTATCTCCTTCAAAGAATCGACATTGTTTATCTTTCCAAATTGGGAATGCTAGTCACAAGAAAACCACAAGATGAGTATCAGATCTATAATGAATGACATATGTTAAACTCAAAAGGAAAATAAAAATTTTGACCATTCTTCACATATGATAAATGGAATATATTATAATATAAAGATAAAGCAAATATGAGATATTCTTTATTTAGTATTATATAGAATTTTTAAAGCCTAGCATAGGCAAAAATAGTGCCTTCATATTTTTTGTTTTTTCTTTATTCTTCTTTTTTTTATCTTTTTCTTTTTTTCTTTTGGTTTACATTTAGGTTTTGTAGTTAGTTCCCTCTTTTTTTTACTTCTTTTTAGTTTTTCTTTCTTATATCCTGTTGTTTTTTAGACAAGGATTATAGAATTCTCTTGCTTGATAATTAAAGGAAAGGAAAAAATGAATCGAAGATAAAGTTAGAAAGACATTTTGGAGCTTGTCATGAAAGGAGGAAGATCCTTTCATTATGGACTTTAAGTAGTCAGACAAGCAGTTTACTTCTGCTTAAAGTAATGTGACAGGTTGCACTTAAGTGCTATTAGGGTGGCTGGGTGATGCTAGACTTAGTTGTTAGGTAGTTCTATGTAATTGTAGCAATTGCAAAAATCTTAATAAAGTATTAGCATGACTGTTTATATTAAAAAAAAAAAAAAAATTCTCAAATTTTTAATCAGATAAGCATTGTAAAAGAGTTAATTAATAATCATCAATTTTGAATTAATATGAAACAATTGCAGAATATTCTCTGCCTAGTAAAATGAACTATAAAAAATATGAAGTTCCAAACCATCTTGTTGGCTAATGTGTTTGTTAAACTAGTAAAAATGGCAATCACAATTAAAGAACTTTCTGTTTTATATAATAGCCAATTTCAATAAAATTGTATTATTATTTATAATAAGCAATAGAAAGAATTTGATATAGATTTGTATCTTTTGTTTTTTTTTTTATATTCAGCTTATCAAGATATCTAAAAAGTTATATATTTAACCTACTTTAGAATGCATATTTTTAATTAAATTTTTTTTTTTATTAAAAATGATTTCTTTAAGCTTAATATATATATATATCATATTCTTAAAAAGGCTTTAGAAACATAAAAGAAGTTAGGTAGTAGCTGAACAAATGCAGATCTTCTAAAAACTCAAATGAATTTATATAAAAATTAGGAGCCTTTATTTGATGATAAATTTATTGCATCTGTTGACACAATTACTAATTAGTAGATGTCTATAAAAATGAAAAAAATAAAAATCATATTAAATGCCTTGCTTTAAAAATATATTTCATTTCACTCCATAATGCTGCATGTGAGCATGTTTTTAGTATACTAGAATGGTATTTCAGAAAAAGAAGAACTAGGTATATAGAAATAATATATAATGATAAATATTTTCTAATTTATTAGCTTTAATAATGTATAATACATTTTTTCATTACTAAAGTAGGAAATATTTATGCAAGATTATTTATATAACTGGTTGCACAAAACCTGAATTATTAACTTCAAAATTTGTTGTCTTTATATAGTGATTGCACTATATATACATATATATGTGCAATTTGAGTACTGTATAATTATATAATCTATTTTAATTGGTCATTTATTACATAATAGATTTAATTAACAAATTAAAATTTTAAAGTCTTTTTTTTTATTAAAAAATTTAATAACTTGCCAAAATTTTTTTTGCAAATTGTAAATTTATTGTTATTTTTAGATTAAGTCTTAGTCATCTAAAAATTATAGCCCAGATGTATTCATTTTTGGTTGAAGATGCTAAATCAGAGCTTAATTATATAGATTCAAATTTTCATTAAGAGGATTTCTTATTAATTTTTAATAAAATCTCAAGTTCTATTGAAAATGGCACTGATTTATTTAGTAAAGAAATTTATTTTCTGTTTAAAAAGAACCTATAAAAGAACTGATAAAAGATATAGAAGATTTTTTGAAAGAGAATTTAGTTGAAGAAAATTTCATAAATTTAGAAATTGAAAATTTTATAAATTTATTATTTAAATTAAAGCTTAGTGAGTTATCAAGTGTAATTAAAGAAATTATACATAAAGATAAAGATTTTGATGTAAACAAATTGCTTAATCTATAGATTTTAATTAAATAAATCTGATCTCTAAAATTAGTTTTTTTTTTTTAAACAAAAAATATATCTTATTTATAAAAATTTATAAGTTGTATAGTTTTAGTTAGTTAATAAATTGATTTTATTATTGAAGCTTTCTATTGTAAATATATATAATTTTATTTTTTTATTTTATTTGTGTATTTTATTTTATTGATTTGACTTTTTTATTATTTATAATTAGAATTCAAGCCTAATAAAACTTCATATTTTACTATTTTCTTAGAAACCAAAAATAGTTTTATTATTGCAACTTTTGGAATTATGCAGTATGTAAGAAAATATGAGTTAATTATAGAAGTAATATTTCTAATAAAATTTTTAGTAGGCATAGTCCTATAAAATAAGTATAAACTTAATAAATTGTGCTACAAAGTATGCTTATACTAGGTGTATGCTGAGAAATCTAATACATCTTTTTATCTTAGCTTTTTTTTTTAGAGAGAAACAATAGCTTGCAATACTTTTTTTAAAGAGAAGCAAATAAGATAAATTAAGTTTTATACTTATTATTAAAAGTATAGTCAAAGCTATTTCTTTTTAATGTTATGTTATCATAAATAAGAATTATGCCTTAAGACATCTGTAAGCAAAGACTGAAACTTGCAAAAAAGAGTCTGACACTTTTACAAATTAATATATATCTTCAGAATTTGTGTGTTATTAAACTAGTTAAAAACATTAAAGTAAATAAAATTCTTTGAATATTAAAGAATTACAATAAGCAATTACTTTATTTTTTTATTTTTATTTATTATTTTTATTAATAGTCATACTTCTATATAATCATACTATTAAGATTCATAAAAAGTATTTTTATATAGATGTACTTAGAACATGCTTATATAGAGAATTATTAAATAATAGTTTGTTTAAAAAGTAAATGTCTTATATAGGAGTGTAACTATACTTATTAATTTATTTGTTATTTTGTTTATTTTTTTTTAAAAAAAAAACTACTATATTTGAACAATTATATTAATAATATTGATTGCTTTTATTTAAATTATTTAATCAAGAAAGCTGTTGCTCTTTGCATGTATTTGAATGCAATTGTTGTGATAAAAGTATCAAATTTCATTTAATTTTGAGTAAATTGAGAATTTACTATTATGCTAGATTTTATAAAATAGTAGAATAACTTCTCTTAAACTGAGAATAGTATCTTTAGATTCTTTCTATGTTTATTAAAGAATTGTAACTTTGGTTACACTTTGATAACTTTAATGATATTATTCTTAATTTTTTTTTTCTAGCAAATGCTACAATAAATATAAGAATTATTTATTATTATGTATTATTGTGTATTGAAATAAATCTGGAATTTGCTTAAGTGGATTTTTTAAATTAAATATAATAAAGAATTCTGTAAAACTTGGTATGATGTTATTAATACATCATAAACATAATAAAGTGAGAATTGAAGTTTTTGTAAATTACCAATAAAATCTAAGAGTTGTAAAAAAAACTCAATATATGAAATTTCAAAATGTGTAATGTTTGTACAAAACTTAAGTGTTTCTAGCAATAATAGTTGTTTTAAAGTTATTTCTGTTGTTGATCTAAACTAAAAACCTCTAACCTATTATTAGATAGTGGCAATGTTTTGTAGATTGGAGTCTTAATTACTATGCAACAGAAAAAACTATTAATATTACACCAAGTGAAGGATTATATCTATTACACTTAAAGTTACATATAAATAATTTTAGATTAACTGATCACCTTGTATAAACAATAAGGTGAGAGATTATATCCATAATATACATTTTAGAGTAAACACAAAATAAATAATTTTATTATTGATTGACTACATTATATGAAGGATTAATATGTAATATTGACAGTTCTTTCTGTTTTACTATGCCTTTAAATTTTGTATTGTTTTGAAGTTTGTAAATACTATATAAAATAAAAAAAGCCTTAAAAACATAAAATGCTATCAATTTTTAACTACAATATTATAAATTGTGAATATTTAATATTTTTATCTCTGTTTTTAGTTTACTTGGAATTGATTAATTTGGGATAAAAAAAATTTTTATAAATCCCACT